CTATCTATCTATCTATCCAGTTATATATCCATTCATCCGTCCATCTGTATCCATCCATCCATCCATCCATCCATTTATCCTTCCATCCATCCATCCATCCATCCATCCATCCATCCATCCATTCATCCATCCATCCATCCATCCATCCATCCATCCATCCATCCATCCATCTACTGTATCCATGAATGCATCTAATGTTCTACTGTACCTATTCATCCATCCTTCTACTGTTTCTTATGCATTTATCCATCCATCCATCCATCCATCCATCATCTATCAACTGTATCCATCCATCATCCATTTATCCATATACTGTGTCCACCCATCTTTCATTTTTTCCATCCATCCATCCATCCATCCGTCCGCCCGTCCGTCTGTCCATTTGTTTGTTTATCTATCTATCCATCCATCCATTCAAATATCCATTTATCCATCCATCCACTGTACCATCCTTCTACTCTATCTTTACATGTATCCTTCTATCCATCCATCCATCTATGCATCCTTCTACTGTACCCATGCATTCATCTATCCATCCATCTATCCACCCATCCATCCATCCATCCATCTCTACTGTATCCATTCATCCATTTATCCATCCATCCATATATTTATCCACCCATCCACTGTATCCATACATCCATCCATCCATCCATCCATCCATTCGTCCATCCATCTTTGCATCTACCATATCTATCCATACACCCATCCATCCATCCATCCATTTATCTATCTATTTATCCATCCATCCATCCATCCATCCTTCTACTGTATCAATCCAGCCATTCATCCACTGTATCATCCATCTACTGTATCTATCTATATATTTACTGTATCTATACATTTATCCTTCTATCCGTTTATCCATACATCCATCCATCCATCCATCCCTTCATCTACCATATCTATCCATCCATCCATTCATCCATCCATCCATCCATTCACTGTTTTATCCGTCTATATATCTTCTGTATCTATACATTTATCTTTCTACCAATATATCCATCCATCCATCCTTCCGTCTACCATATCTATCCATACACCCACTCATTTTTCCACCCATTTATCTATTTATCCATCCATCCATCCATCCATCGATTAAAATAAACTGTAATTCAATTGTTCAAAATTTAACAATATGAGTTTCGTAAAATATTGTAGAGCCAATTTAGCCCAAATATGCAAACAAGATCTAAAACAGAAATGCATAAAATCTTTAAAATTGTCAAATAAAATTAAACCATAGTTCTGTTCAGATTTTACCCCAAAATGCAAGAAATATAAGAAGCGAAACATAAATTCTCCCTCTTTTCACTGGATTTTGATCAAAACCGTGTTGTTAGCAGGTTTTGTGAGATTTTTCTCAACAAATGACTGAGCAACAATTACATTTTATGAGGTGTGAACCGAGCGCTCGTCCCTCCGCATAAGTGTGAGTGCGTGTGTGTGTGTGTGTGTGAGCGTGTGATATATGAGGCCGTGGGACGCTGGACCCCACATGGGCCGTCCTCACTGGAGCTCTGGGGGGTACGAGGGTCTGACTGAGCACAAACAAAGCCCACACACACCCCCAAAATAAGAGCGACGCTTGTGTAAATCACACACACACTGTCCCGCTCTATGTGACGTCCCTCCCACCGCATAATAAAAGCAAGAGCTCAAATGGAGCGGAATCAAGCATGGACTAGTTAGAGATGTTTTACAGGATGCACAGGCAGACACAACATGATGCATTTGTTTTATTTTCTGTATTTTAGGAGTTTTATGCATGCTTAACATGATTTAGATGACGCTGACCTGGAGATATGGTGTCGCTGAAATTTGGCAACATGATGTAGGCATCATTGCAAATTTAAATAACAGACTAAACACGTATAAAATATAATATATTAGGCAACACAAGGTTGCCTATCGCTTTTAAAGTGTAAACCTGTTGCTTTTAAAGTCATTAATTGACTTTATAAAGTGAGTAAACCTGTTGCTTTTAAAGCGATTAGTCGACTTTACTTTATAAAAGTGAGTAAACCTGTTGCTTTTAAAGCGATTAGTCGACTTTACTTTATAAAGTGAGTAAACCTGTTGCTTTTAAAGTCATTAATCGACTTTATAAAAGTGAGTAAACCTGTTGCTTTTAAAGCGATTAGTCGACTTTACTTTATAAAGTGAGTAAACCTGTTGCTTTTAAAGCGATTAGTCGACTTTACTTTACAAAAGTGAGTAAACCTGTTGCTTTTAAAGCGATTAGTCGACTTTACTTTATAAAGTGAGTAAACCTGTTGCTTTTAAAGCGATTAGTCGACTTTACTTTATAAAAGTGAGTAAACCTGTTGCTTTTAAAGCGATTAGTCGACTTTATAAAGTGAGTAAACCTGTTGCTTTTAAAGCGATTAGTTGCCTTTACTTTATAAAGTGAGTAAATCTGTTGCTTTTAAAGCGATTAGTCGACTTTATTTTAAAAAGTGAGTAAACCTGTTGCTGTTAAAGCGATTAGTCGCCTTTACTTTATAAAGTGAGTAAATCTGTTGCTTTTAAAGCGATTAGTCGACTTTACTTTATAAAAGTGAGTAAACCTGTTGCTTTTAAAGCGATTAGTCGACTTTACTTTATACAGTGAGTAAACCTGTTGCTTTTAAAGCGATTAGTCGACTTTACTTTATACAGTGAGTAAACCTGTTGCTTTTAAAGCGATTAGTCGACTTTACTTTATAAAGTGAGTAAACCTGTTGCTTTTAAAGCGATTAGTCGACTTTACTTTATAAAAGTGAGTAAACCTGTTGCTTTTAAAGCGATTAGTTGACTTTACTTTATAAAAGTGAGTAAACCTGTTGCTTTTAAAGCGATTAGTCGACTTTACTTTATAAAAGTGAGTAAACCTGTTGCTTTTAAAGCGATTAGTTGACTTTACTTTATAAAAGTGAGTAAACCTGTTGCTTTTAAAGCGATTAGTCGACTTTACTTTATAAAAGTGAGTAAACCTGTTGCTTTTAAAGCGATTAGTTGCCATTACTTTATAAAGTGAGTAAATCTGTTGCTTTTAAAGCGATTAGTCGACTTTATTTTAAAAAGTGAGTAAACCTGTTGCTGTTAAAGCGATTAGTCGACTTTACTTTATAAAAGTGAGTAAACCTGTTGCTTTTAAAGCGATTAGTTGACTTTACTTTAAAAAGTGAGTAAACCTGTTGCTTTTAAAGCGATTAGTCGCCTTTACTTTATAAAGTGAGTAAATCTGTTGCTTTTAAAGCGATTAGTCGACTTTATTTTAAAAAGTGAGTAAACCTGTTGCTTTTAAAGCGATTAGTCACCTTTACTTTATAAAGTGAGTAAATCTGTTGCTTTTAAAGCGATTAGTCGACTTTACTTTATAAAAGTGAGTAAACCTGTTGCTTTTAAAGCGATTAGTCGACTTTACTTTATACAGTGAGTAAACCTGTTGCTTTTAAAGCGATTAGTTGACTTTACTTTAAAAAGTGAGTAAACCTGTTGCTTTTAAAGCGATTAGTCGACTTTACTTTATAAAGTGAGTAAACCTGTTGCTTTTAAAGCGATTAGTCGACTTTACTTTATAAAGTGAGTAAACCTGTTGCTTTTAAAGCGATTAGTTGACTTTACTTTATAAAAGTGAGTAAACCTGTTGCTTTTAAAGCGATTAGTCGACTTTATAAAGTGAGTAAACCTGTTGCTTCTAAAGCGATTAGTTGACTTTACTTTATAAAGTGAGTAAACCTGTTGCTTTTAAAGCGATTAGTTGACTTTACTTTATAAAGTGAGTAAACCTGTTGCTTTTAAAGTGATTAGTCGACTTTATAAAGTGAGTAAACCTGTTGCTTTTAAAGCGATTAGTTGACTTTACTTTATAAAAGTGAGTAAACCTGTTGCTTTTAAAGCGATTAGTCGACTTTATAAAGTGAGTAAACCTGTTGCTTTTAAAGCGATTAGTTGCCTTTACTTTATAAAGTGAGTAAACCTGTTGCTTTTAAAGCGATTAGTCGACTTTACTTTATACAGTGAGTAAACCTGTTGCTTTTAAAGCGATTAGTCGACTTTACTTTATAAAAGTGAGTAAACCTGTTGCTTTTAAAGCGATTAGTCGACTTTATAAAGTGAGTAAACCTGTTGCTTTTAAAGCGATTAGTTGACTTTACTTTATAAAAGTGAGTAAACCTGTTGCTTTTAAAGCGATTAGTCGACTTTATAAAGTGAGTAAACCTGTTGCTTTTAAAGCGATTAGTTGACTTTACTTTATAAAAGTGAGTAAACCTGTTGCTTTTAAAGCGATTAGTCGACTTTATAAAGTGAGTAAACCTGTTGCTTTTAAAGCGATTAGTTGCCTTTACTTTATAAAGTGAGTAAATCTGTTGCTTTTAAAGCGATTAGTCGACTTTATTTTAAAAAGTGAGTAAACCTGTTGCTGTTAAAGCGATTAGTTGACTTTACTTTATAAAAGTGAGTAAACCTGTTGCTTTTAAAGCGATTAGTCGCCTTTACTTTATAAAGTGAGTAAATCTGTTGCTTTTAAAGCGATTAGTTGACTTTACTTTATAAAAGTGAGTAAACCTGTTGCTTTTAAAGCGATTAGTCGACTTTACTTTATAAAAGTGAGTAAACCTGTTGCTTTTAAAGCGATTAGTCGACTTTACTTTATAAAAGTGAGTAAACCTGTTGCTTTTAAAGCGATTAGTCGACTTTACTTTATAAAGTGAGTAAATCAGTTGCTTTTAAAGCGATTAGTCGACTTTACTTAATAAAGTGATTAAACCTGTTGCTTTTAAAGCGATTAGTCGACTACTTACTTTTAAATTACTTATCATTTTAAAAGCATTATATTTGAGCATCTACTCACTTTTAACAATGTAAAATCCGTTAAAACATGTTACAAATTACTTTAACAATGGCGATGGGGTCACTTTAAATTATTTCTCATTTCAGACTCTTGAATGTATTTCCAAAATTAGCAAACCAACAAACAAACAAGCAAGCAATCAAACAAACAAAGCAAAAGGTTTGGTATATTAGTGCATGTTTATTATTTACTCTAAAGACATGTCTTCCAAATGATTAACTAATCCCTTTTAAACTCACTTGCTACTAACAATCTACATAAGAAGATAAAAGTAGTCTTGATGTAAAAGATCAGTTGCATGACGTCAGCGTAACACTCATAACACAATGTGCATGAAGAAGGTTAGATTTTTAAACCTATCCGATCTAAAACTGAGCTGCAATAAAGTTTGGCACATACAATTTAACCTACCGAAATAACCCAACACAAGCATATAGCATGCTTTCGATTAGTGCAGTTTGACTATCAATATACAGTGTCCATCATCTCCGCCGTTCAGCAGTAACAGTTCATGTTTATAAGCCTAAAAACTCAAGTTTCAACCAAAAGATGCACAAGGTAGCTTTACGCTACAACATTTTCAGCCACAAATGGAAAACTTGAGTGTTTTTGGTCATTCATTTACACAACAAATGGGTTTTGGGAGAGTTACGTTTTTAAAAGGTATTATTTTAAATTTTAGTAAATGGTTGTGAATCGCACCCTGAACCAATTTATTTCAATCGCAGTGTTGGATGATTGTAGCACTGCACATTACGGACATCTCAGGCCATGTTCACATGTACACGGGTATTTTCCCCTCCCTAATAAAAAAAAATTAAAAACATGAAAATGTGATGCCAGTGCGAACCAACAGGTGGCGATGAAAAGCCTTTTATGATGGATTAAGCATTTGCATGAGTAATTTACATGAAATTCAATGCAAATGTGCCAACAAAGGCAATTATTCCCATTGATTACCAAATAATTACCATTGTGAATGCTCAGAATTCCTCTCAATCGCATTGAACCCATTGATTCATGAACCCAGCATGAGCAAAGCCATGTTGGCCAATCAGAATGCAGCATGCACACTGATGTCATCAGGCAAAAATTCGAGTTTTAGTGGACACATCCACACTGCACCCGGAGTTTCTGAAAATCCTGGCTGGAGTCAGTCAAAAATATGGCGGTTTTGAAAATACCCGTGTTCGTGTGGGCGATTTTAAGAGGCTCCACTAAATCAGGTGGGACGTCCTGAGAACAACTGCTATAAACAGCATTTAGTCCACTCTTATCCAATAGGATGTTTCAAAATGATGCCATGAAGGGCTTTCGCACCAGCTAGTCAACAAGACGGTCCTTCAGAGAACTAAATTTGCACCATTTTCCCAGTTGCATGGGCACCAACAACACTGGAGCATTTTAAAGCTGCGTCGATCAGCTGGTTTGCCTATAAGCTGAAATACAAGCGATTCGCTAATAAATCGCGGCTTTAAAATGCTCCAGTGTCCCTGCATCTGTGGTTACACTCAGTAAACAGCGGTGAGTTGGGCGAACTGATGACCTTCACAGCCAATCACAGTCATTTCTGTTGAGCATAGGAACACAATGGTTAATCAGAGCTGTTTAAGAACAAGCTCGAATGTTAGCGGGAATTGGACGTGTATTAATTTTAGTACCAACTGGTACCGAATTCCAGTATCGTGTTAAAGACAACACTAATAGAGACCAATATTTAAATAGTCAGCTGCTCAAGAACAATTTTGCATCAGTATCAATTGCCTTTGTTTGTGTAGCGCATTTGTTTATCTCATGCTTGTTCGCGATGATGCCATAGTAGCAAAGGCGGCGCAACTACATCGATAATCTCGCCCACTTAAAGAAGTACTAAACTGTGGAAACACAAACTAAGCGAAGAAAAATCCGAGTGCTAAACCGTACCATGTGGAAAAGCAGATTTTGGTTCACAAGATGTCGAGATTGTTCCCTTCTTCAATGAATCTCTTGTACTTGCGTGTAAGTTTGAATTGTAAACAATAAGCTCGCATCTCTCCGTAAGTTCGCGCAGGATTGGCGCTCAACCAGCGAATCAGATCTTCCCGAAAGCAATGCTAAGGATCTTGATTGGATTAACTTCAATGCAGGTAGATAATATATCAGATACAAAAAAACACAATCATAAAAATCAATATAAGAAATAGATACACTTTTAAAAATACATCTTCGTGTGGAGTTCATGGAATCCACAATTCATCTTTTTTTTTTAGGTGGGGTGGGGGGGTAAAAACAATCCAAACCCTCACAGTTCTTTGACTCAAAGGACCAAAATGTAACCCTCTTCAAAGCAGAGTCTCGATTTTACTGCTTAAATCCCCTCCGAAAGAGAGATCGAAGAGTTGATCGATGCTTACGGTGGAGCTGCCGAGGAAGTCGGAACGGTTGGATTCGTCCACCTCTGACCAGGGGCTCTGCAAAAACGCCGTAGCCAAAAAAGTTTCCTCGTCAAAGTCCTCATCGCCGCTCCTTTGGGTTTCCATCAAGACGTGATTCTCAACGGGAGCTTCTTGAGGACTTATATGCGTTCCTCTAATCATCAACTCTTCGTCTTGAGGCGTTGGACTTAATGGGCTTCCTTCATTCAAGCTTAATTCTCCATTCAGGGCTGAATCCAGTAGAGCGTCCCAGTCAAAGTTGCCCCTCAGGGAGCTCAAATCCTCCTGTTCATCCATGACCAGAAGAGGAGAGCTTGAGCGTCGAGGAGTTTTTCCAGTCCTGTGGTTATACGGCTGTTTTCGTTTGTTGGTTCCCTTCCCGGAGATCCAGCAACTCAACATTGTGGCTTCAGCCAATCGCGGGTCCCAGTTCTGGTCTGCGCTGGTGGCCTCCTCGAAGTCCTTCAGGAGCTGCTGGGATTCGGGACTCACGCTCAGGTTTCGGGATATTACTCCTGTAGCTTGAGCGTTCATCCTGAGTCGGTGCTGGAGAGCTGGATTGATCTGCACTGGAGGTAATCTGCGCTTCTTGTAGGCTCCGTTTAAGAGACGTTCGGCGTACTGCGGGTCGATTTTCCAGAAGCCGCCTTTGCCCGGTTCATCCTTCTGCCTTGGGACTTTTATGAAGCATTTGTTCAGGGACAGATTGTGGCGGATGGAGTTCTGCAATAAATTCGAGATGAATGCATTTTAGTGTTTTCATCGTGATGCATTCAAAGTACACATGAAATCAAAACTAACCCCCGATTGATTTGGTTAGCTCACATTGCTAATTATGTCCTGAACAATTCATCTACGCATGTCATTAAGATAAAAAACAACAGTTCGCACTTATAACTTTTAATTGAAATATAAAAATGCCCTTCCTGTTTATTTTCAGTTTTATTCTCAGATTAGGTCTGTCTAAGGTATTGGGTGTGGCTAGCATACTTAACCACGCCCCTCCAGCTGTCAGAGCAATGACAACAAACAGAAATGGTGAGGAGGAGGAGTTTGTTAGGTTGTGATACCTCTTCTGAAACCCTGATCTTTCTGAATGAAACGCCTACTTTACTACATCCAATCAGATCACAGTAGAACAAGCCACGCCCACTGTTTTCTCATTTACTATTCCTTTTTTCTAGAAACTGCGTCACAATACAAAAAAAAAAAAAAACAATCACAGCTTTCAGTTTCATGTGGACTTTTAACACATTCCTTCAGCTTAGTTCCTGATTTATCAGGAGTCGCCACAGCGGAATGAACCGCCAACTACTCTGGCATGTGTTTTATGCATGCTCTTTCAGCTGCCCAAAACTTTAGTACATTAAATTAGCTTTCAATTTGTGCATTTAAATAGCTAAAATAGCATAACAAAAGTGACTTTTTTTTCAAACATGGATGTATTCCTTATTTAAGATATAAATGAAAAAAGAGGCTATTTTTGCAGGTGAAATTTGTTTTACTTATAGCTTTGCTAACGCATTCCTGACCACCAAATTATGCTTTAAAGATGTTTAACTAACTTTCTCATTAACTAATGAAAACTTCTGAACTCAAAACATCTGCTAAAAAACACTTTTTTAAAATGCTAATATTAGCATAAAAATTACATTGTCATATATAGTTTGTAATTTTTTTCTCCCAAAAAATTATTTCTGCAATATTGTTGCAAACAATTTATATGCTTGAATATAAACAAACAAATGAAATTTAGTCATGTTCAACTTGATTTGTTTGTTTAAATTCAGCCCAAATAAATTTACAACCACTCAACCCAATCCAAGAAATCATCTTGAAATCATTTTCAGTGTATTGTTATCCAAATAAAAACATTTAAGGAACAAAATAATAAAAGGTACAGTTCAAGTCATGGTTTGTTATCAAAGAGCTAATATATTTGAATTAACGTTCCCTTAACATTAAGATGACCTCGCTAAAATGCTTTCTCTGTTAGCAAATAGTTCATCTGTATAGTTTCGTCATTACAATTTATAAACTGTAAAAAACTAAACGTAATTTCGTTTACATGCATACAGCTATTTTCTGTTCACTTTCATTGGTTTTAAAGTGCTTTAAAAATAAAGTTTGTTTGATCGACATAGCTAATCAATAACTAGTCAACAAATCACTATAAAGTGTTGTGTCATCTGCTAATTGCTATTGCTAGTCAGAAAGAGCTAGTATAGGGATAAAAGTTCTTATTCTAACAATATTTGAGAACTATTTACTAAAAGTGAAAGTCTAATATCCACAGCTGAAGTCAGAATTATTCGCCCCCCTGTTTATTTTTTTCCCCCAATTTCTGTTTAACAGAGAGCAGATTTGTCAGCACGTTTCTAATCATAATAGTTTTAATAACTCATCTCTAATAACTGATTTCTTTTTTCTTTGTTATGATGAAAGCAAATAATATTAGACTAGAAATCATTCAAGACACTTCTCTGTACAACTTAAAGTGACATTTAAAGGCTTAACTAGGTTAACTAGGCAGGTTAACGATGGTTTGTTCTGTAGACTATTAAAAAAATAGCTTAAAGGGGCTAATAATTTTGACCTTAAAACGGTGCTTGAAAAATTAAAAACTGCTTTTATTCTAGTCGAAATAAATCAAATAAGACTTTCTCCAAAAGAAAAAATATTATCAGACATACTGTGAAAATTTCCTTGCTCTGTTAAACATCATTTTGTAAATATTTAAAGAAGAGAAAAAAATCAAAGGGGGGCGAATAATTCTGACTTCAACTGTACATACAGTATGGATATTGTAAAAGCTTTATGAATAAATAGACAAATAAAATATATATAAATGTTCAATTTACAAATAAATATGTGTTCAAATAAATATGTACTTCACAAGTAAATGTTTGTTCGTTCAAAATTTGCATAATAAATGTATAGTTTGTCTGTAAAATCATCAATTAAAAATGACTTCAGTTTTTATGACATAAACATACCGAGCAGCCCTCAAATACTCCTCCATTCTCATTTTAAATCTTTAAACTTTCATTTTTTTTTTTACTTTAAACATAAATAATCCACAATATATTAAAATCTAGTATGTTTGCATATAATGTTTTACTTATTTTAACAAATACAGGTCAGAATAAGCATATAAGACATATCTGTTATGCTGAATCAACATTGTGTTACTTATATTCCTCACCATTCTCACAAAACTTGGTAAACACTAGCAAACAGACTATAATAGATATGGTTTAATGTAAATTTGTCTTTATTTGGTTGTGGTATTGATGTCTGTTGATATTGTTTAATGTAAATGTATGTTAATTTGCTTGTGGTATTGGCGTCAGTTGTTATGGTTTAATGTAAATTTGTCTGTATTTGTTTGTGGTATTGGTGTCTATCATTATGTTTTAACGTGTTTGCTTATTTAGTTTTGGTATTATTTGTATTGTTTTAGCTCAATGTAAATGTGTTTTCTTTATTTTGGTTTTGATTATAGTTGAATGTAACAGTCTTTTCATGTGTTGACCCCAAGAAGGATGGCCACTATGCTGATAGAGGACGTAAACAAACAATAGAAAATAGCCAACGATGGTTTTACGAATTCCTCCAGTGCACATCAGACTTGGCAAGCTAATGAGCTTTAAATCAACTGGCGCGCTAACCCGGGTTAAACATTATTTTGAGTTAAAATATCTAAAAACTGAGTGAATGTCTGCGATTTCTTCAAAGAAAAAGGAGGTTACGGCTAAGGGGTTCATTAATGATTCACCGACAGCTAAATCTTTTTAGAAATCCCCCTTTTTTCTTATGTTTTTTAGTAAATATCCAACTTATGAGCTCATTCCTCCTCTTTGACTCACAGAGGACAACAAATGCAATGATTTACAGCTTATTACAGTGCTTTTACAGTATTATATATATATATATATATATATATATATATATATATATATATATATATATATATATACTATGAACCATATAAAAAGTCTACTATTTTATATTATGCTCTATTGTTTATTTTGTGGAGTCAATAATAGGAAGCAGACAATAACAGTGAGAAAGTTGTAGTCTTGCAAGTGCATTATTCATCCATTCAACACCTTTTATGATATTGTGATACCATAAAAGTGGAAACTACTACCTGAAAAGTACAATAGTGCACATCTTGACATTTTAAGGTGTTTTTTTTCCGTTTTTTTAGGTAAATATTTTTAGAAATCCACGTTTTTTGTTAAAATTTAACTAATTTAATTGAATTCTTTCTGCTTGGCTCACGACTCGTGCACTGAAAAAAATGTCTGCAAACTATTTATGTGTTGAATCCAAACAAACAAATGAAATTTAATAATGTTCAGCTTAATTTTGTGTGTTTAAATTCAGCCTAAATAAATTGTTCTCAAGCACTTAACTTAAGAAAATGTAGTAAATTCAAGAAATTGTCTTTGAGAAATTGTCTTCAGTGTGCTTTACACCGCAATGAATTATTATTTTTTGTTTTGTCTTGTGTTTTGTTTTGTTGTTTTGGTCTTGTTTCTAGTCCAAATATCTAATAAATCTTATATAAAGAAGAAATCTAAAATAATGAGCCAAAATTAAGTGGGTTTTTCCATAAAACAAGCTCAATTATCTGTTACCCCATTGGCAGATCATTCAGCTTGTTTTCAGGAAAAACGAACTTAATTTTGACTATTTCTGAAAGCGAGACTATCTATATTTTAAACTCTTTTTTTGTATTGTAAGAGCACAAAGTACAACGTTTCTACACTACTCCTTATCACTAAATCAGCAGAAGCATCCAAAAACTCATTAGTAAAACCCATCAAGCCATCTACAAAGGTTTGTGCTGGTCTCTCTCCAATACGCAATCCACTTCAGCAGGTGTTAAGAACGCTCAAGCAAACACAAAACACCCCTCATTGGCCTTTGCCAGATATGCAAATGAGGCCGGTTTCAGGGTGAGCCATTTATTTGCTGCGTCTTTTAAGTGTAAATGATTGCGCGCAACAGTGGGCTTTACAAACGGGGACTTTTAATTTGGAATGAGTTCACTTCCGGTGAACCGTCACGCGGTTGTAAAACAGCCATGTTTAAGGTCTTGTTAGATGTTAGATTAGATGTTATTATTTATGATTTGCTTTTGTAGTATTTTGGACGATAATCTACAGCTCATTTTTGGTAAAGCTCACCTCTGATTGTGTATTTGGAAGCACGTTGTACATTTATCTTCATAACATTAAATAAAAAAATCATTAATTTTCCTTTGGCTTAGTTTCTATTTCAGGTCGCCGCAGCGGAATGAACCACCAACTATGCCAGCATATGTTTTACACAGTGGATGCCTTTCTAGCAGCAACCCAGTACTGGGAAACACACACACTCATACATTACAGCGAATTTAGTTCATCAATTCCCCTATAGCACATGAGTTTGGACTCGGGTTAGCACCCCCATGCCAACACGGGGAGAACATGCAAACTCCACTCAGAAATGCCAACTGATCCAGCCGGGACTCAAACCAGAGACCTTCTTGCTGTGAGGCGACAATGTAAACAAATAAAGATCTTGTTTATATATAGATCCTGTTGATATAAAGTGGATTTCACACCAGACAGGCAGCACAGCATTAAACTACATTGCTCTGCACCATGTTTTTAAAATATAAACATTCATTTTACCACAGTATTTTGGTATTAATGGACTTTCAGCGCTCGCCTGCTGCTTGTGTTTACATTTTCATCTCATTTCACGCTTGAATGACTAAATGAATATTTAAAGAGAAAGATCACCCACTCATCCCCACCCCCCCAAAGAAAAGGGACATTTCTTTATAATTTACTACCAGAAAATTTATAATAACCCACTTATGAGCTCATTCTTTCTCCTTAACTCACAGAAGGAACAAAATTCAATGTTTTACACTACACTGATTTTTATTTTTCCATGATTATTTATGTTTCTGAATTGCATTATGGGATTTTGATCTTTCTTCCGACAACTTTTAACCTTGAAAAGTGTGGAAAAAGTGACTTTTATTAACATTTTTAGTAGTTTAAAGTGCTATATTGTCTGTTTTGGTGTTTTATATTACTATACAAGCACCTTGTAATAAACAGCAGCACATTTTCTATTATTTCACACACTTATTTCTTTAGATATTATACATTATATTCTTGCAAACTACTAAAATGTCACTAAAAGTTATTTTGTTAAACTGTAGAGTTGAATTTTCAACATCAAAAGTGGACATAACAGAGATCAACATCCCATAAACTAAAAACATTTCTTCATCCTTTACTCATTTACATTTAATGGTAAAAAACTTGACCATTGACTTTCATAGTATCTGTTTTTCCTACAAGGCATGTCAATGGTTTCTAACATTCTTCAAAATATCTTCTTTAGTGTCAAACAGAAGTAAGAAACTTCCCAGCAGGCACACAACGTCATAAGACATCAATGTTAGGGTAGATTGTGATGTCAGGTAACCAAATTGTCTAGTCAGCGTCTAGACAACGTTATTTTGACGTCCAATAACGACTGCAAATGACGTTGATATTTAGTTGATTTTAGGTTGTGTTGGAAAGTAACCAAAATCTAACATCGAGCCAACATCTTAAACCAACATCATATTGACGTCAAATCCTGACATTTATTCGTCAGATATGGCAACCAAAATCCAACGTCTGATAGACGTCAAATTGGTAACACTTACACAACATCAAGCTCGAACTTAATTAGACGTTGATATTTGGTTGATTTTAGGTTGCACGTTAGACACTGATGCCGGCCAGACATTGGGTTCTGATGTCAACCCAATTTTCATTTCCAAACAAAATGTAATGTCTCCATGGAGTAGGGGAACAACATCAATCTGATGTCATGTTGACGTCCTGTGCATGCTGGGTTATAAAGGTTCATAACCACTTGACGAGAGTCATTTTTAGGTGAACTATGCCTTTAAGTCTGTTTAACTGACTATATTTAGATTACATGATGTTACTGATGCTGTACGAGGAACTTTAGAAAGTTGAAACCCCACCACTTGTTTACTGGTGGCTGAAAAACATCCCATTGTGTATGTATGGAGCCTTTTCACAAGACGTTTAACACTCATCAGCATCTTAAATCCTTGAAAGTTAATAATATTTAGATTCTTTTCTAATACGTGTGCGCATTTATATGCATTTATGTACAGTTGAAGTCAGAATAATACAACCCTTTTGAATTTTCTTTTCTTTTTTAAATTTTCCCCAAATGATGTTGAACAGATTTAGGAAATGTTCACAGTATGTCTGATAATATTTGTTCTTCTGGAGAAAGTCTTATTTGTTTTATTTCGGCTAGAATAAAAGCAGTTTTTAATATTTTAAAACTCATTTTAAGGTCAATATTATTAGCCCCTTTAAGCTAAATTTTTTTCTTCGATAATCTACAGAACAAACCATCGTTATACAATAACTTGCCTAATTACCCTAACCCACCTAGTTAACCTAATTAACCTAGTTAAGCCGTTAAATGTCACTTTAAGCTGTATAGAAGTGTCTTGAAGAATATCTAGTCTAATATTATTTACTGTCATCATGACAAAGAGAAAATAAATCAGTTATTAGAGATGAGTTATTAAACTATTATGATTAGAAATGGCGAGGCAGTGGCACAGTAGGTAGTGCTGTCGCCTCACAGCAAGAAGCTCGCTGGTTCGAACCTCAGCTCAGTTGGCATTTCTGTGTGGAGTTTGCATGTTCTCCCTGCCTTCGCGTGGGTTTCCTCCGGGTGCCCCGGTTTCCCCCACAGTCCAAAGACATGCGGTACAGGTGAATTGGGTAGGCTAAATTGTCCGTAGTGTATGAGTGTGTGTGTGAATGTGTGTGTGGATGTTTCCCAGAGATGGGTTGCGGCTGGAAGGGCATCCACTGCGTAAAAACTTGCTGGATAAGTTGGCGGTTCATTCCGCTGTGGCAACCCCGGATTAATAAAGGGACTAAGCCGACAAGAAAATAAATGAATGATTAGAAATGTGCTGAAAAAAAATCTGCTCTCCGTTAAACAGAAATTGAGAAAATTAAATAAATAAATGGGGTGAATAATTCAGGGGGGCTAATAGTTCTGACTTCAACTGTATGTTTTATATAATCTTTGCATCAAAATACAAAAACAAAATGCAGCTTTAGGGAGGTGCTTCTAAAGCATCGTCTATGGGGGCAGTACTGGACTGAGACAGTTTCGGTGTACTAGAACTGTCTGTTAAGCTGCTTTGACACAATCTACATTGTAAAAGCTCTATAGAAATAAACATGATAGGACAGGAAATTTAGATTATTCTCTCTTCTGGCTGCCGTTTTCAGTCTCACACTAATTGTTTCCTCTTTCTGAAAGTCTTGATTTCCCCATCCTGGAGTTTTTCTTTTATTATTTGAGCAAATAGGATTGTACGCAAATGATCTATTGTCCTCTCCTATTCACTGCGCTCTGAGTTGACCAACTATATTGTTTTCCACTGCTGAGAAACCAATGTGAAAATGTGTTACCTGCCAGGTGGGATCTGCGTGGCGGAAGTAGCAGAAGTTGTCCGTGATCCACTTGTAGATGCATGAAAGTGTGATTTTGGTTTTCTTGCTTGCCTGCATAGCCATGCATATGAGAGTTGCATATGAGTATGGCGGCTTGATGTGCGGGTTGGACTTATAATCGACTTCGTCGGGACAGTGTCCATGCGCCACCAGGCTGGGCAGAGCTGAAAACATGGGCACTCTGCAGAAAGACGCCGCCGTGGGTTTCCCAGGGGTCAGTGGCATGCCTATAGACGCCGGGTCTCCTGCTAACGGTGAAGAGGGCGCGTCTGAGCCCATGAGGTGGCTGTGGCTAGACGGGGACGTGTGCTGTCCTGTGCTGGCGTTGAGGATGGAGAACTCCTGCAGCCACTGGAGGCTGGTCAGGCTGTCGTCTAAATTGTCGGAGTCTAAACTGGTGTTGCACTGGAGCGGTGTGGAGGTGTCCAAACGCTCGGCCTGAGCCGCTGCAGTCACCACTTCCTCCTCCAAGCCCACCGAGCCCTCCGGCCAGGGGTCCATGGAACTCATGGAGAGCATGGTCCTGACAAATCCTAACAGGCAGAAACATTTAGATCAGTCAAAGGTCCAATCCCAGTTCTACCCCTTACCCCTTAGTGTTCATGTGAAGGGCTAGGGGTGTCCCAATTCTCTTCATCTTGAAGGCGTAGGGCTAAGGGGAAGGGATATTATCCCTCAAAACAGAGATTTTCCCTCGACAACACTAGAAACCAAGGGGTATAAAAAGTTTAAATACATTCATAACGACGATCCTGTTTTAAAGTCATTAAAAAAAACGATAACCCACGGCCCCCAATCGCTTATATTTACTTTTATTTATAATCGATTATCCGTCTAATTTTCTTATATTTACTTACATCTATAATCGCTAAATCTCTTATTTTTACTTCTATTTATAATCGCTTAGCCGATTAATCGCTTATAGTTACTTATATTTATAATCGTTTATATTTACTTATATTTATAATCACTTATCCGCTTAATCGCTCATATTTACTTATATTTATAATCGATTAATCGCTTATAGTTACTTATATGTATAATCAATTAATCGCTTATTACTTATATTTATAATCGATTAATCACTTATAGTTACTTATATGTATAATCAATTAATCGCTTATTACTTATATTTATAATCGATTAATCGCTTATAGTTACTTATATTTATAATCGATTAATCGCTTATAGTTACCTATATTTATAATCGATTAATCGCTTTTAGTTACTTATATTTATAATCAATTAATCGCTTATTACTTATATTTATAATCGATTAATCGCTTATAGTTACTTATATTTATAATCGATTAATCGCTTATAGTTACTTATATTTATAATCGATTAATCGCTTATAGTTACTTATATGTATAATCAATTAATCGCTTATTACTTATATTTATAATTGATTAATTGCTTATAGTTACTTATATTTATAATCGATTAATCGCTTATATTTACTTATATTTATAATCGCTTATATTTACTTTTATTTATAATCGCTTAATCGCTTATATTTACGTATATTTATAATTGCTAAATCGCTTATATTTACTTCTATTTATTATCGCTTAGTCGATTAATCGAGTGTAGTTACTTATATTTTTAATCGCTTATATTTACTTATATTTTCAATTGATTAATCTCTTATATTTACTTATATTTATAACCACTAAATCGTTTATTTGCTTATATTTATAATCGCTTATTCGATTAATCCAGTTTAGTTATTTATATTTATAATCGCTTATATTTACTTAAATTTATAATCGCAAAATCTCTTATATTTACTTCTATTTTTAATCGCTTTTTTGATTAACCGATTGTAGTTAATTATATTTATAATCGCTTAATTGCTTATATTTACTTATATTTATAATTGCTCAATCGCTTATATTTACTTATATTTATAATCGCTTATCCACTTAATCGCTTAAATTTACATATATTTATAATTGCTTAATTACTTATATTTACTTAGATTTATAATAGCTTATTTACTTAATCGCTTCTATTTACATATATATATTTAAAATCGCTTAAACGCTTATATTTACTTATATTCATAATCGCTTAAACACTTAATTGTTTATAGTTACTTATATTTATAATCGCTTATATTTACTTATAATTATAATCACTTTTGCACTTAATCATTTATAGTTATTTATAATCAATTAATCACTTATATTTACTTATATTTTTAATCGCTTATCCACTTAATCGACTATATTTACTTGTATATAAAATCACTATTTGTTTATACTTACTTATTTTTATAATTGCTTAATAACTTAAATTTACTTACATTTATAATTGCTTATATCATATTTATAATCACTAATATTTGCTTATATATTTATAATCGCTTAATCGCTTATATTTACTTAAATTATAATCGCTAATTGTATATATTTACTTATATTTATAAATCGCCTTTCCACTTAATCGCTTATAATTACTTATATTTATAAACGCTTATAGTTACTTATCTTTATAATCACTATTCCGCTTAATCGCTTGTAATTGCTTATATTTATAATCGCTTATCAGTTTAATTGCTTATATTTATAGCCGCTTATTTGCTCAATAGCTTATATTTATATTTATGATCACGTAATCGCTTATATTTAATTATATTTATAATTACTCTTCTCTGGATTTATATCATATCTTTTCATGAACTAATTTCTTATTCAATTCATGTAAACTTGCTTAATGTAATTGAAAAATACAATTAAAAATAGCTAGATATATTTGTATAATGAAAAAATAAAAATCGCTTTTCTGAATTGATTGACTGTTTTATATATGTGTATTCATGAGAAGTACTTTTTAAGTTACTAATTACATTACTTAAAAATCAAAAGTAATCCCCCACATTACTTTTTCAGGGATTAAGTAATTTAATTACAGTTACTTTACTTTTTGTATAGCGCTTTCACAACAATTATTGTCCCAAGCAGCTGCACAATAGGTGCATGTTGTTACATTATTACAATCAAAACGATGAACGTTTGTGAGACATGTTGCTTTATTTGGCTTATAGAGGTCACAGAACTTTCTGGAAACTTCTCAGGTCACTGTTTACAGCGTCTCATAACTGCCTCACAGCACACAATAGAGCCAACCACTAACATTCCTCAGCACGGCAGGTGCAGCCCGGACGGAGGCTCGCAAAACACAATCAAAGCATATTAAATGTGGACAAAGAGTAATAGTACACAATAATGTCAAAATATGGTTGCTTTTCAGTATAAATGATGTAAAAATGACATGCTAGATCAGACCTATTCTTATTCAAATGTATAAATGAATAAATCACTCCAAATTTGATTTGGTTTGTATTTATCACAAACCTCTTGGGTAGAAGGTAAGGATAATGGCAAAGTATAATAAATTAAAATGACAATTTGAGGACAAACTGACTATTAAATGGCATCTTTTTAAATTATTCTTGCTCTAAACGTGACTGAAGATTTATTTTAGCATGTAAATTGTTTTTACAACTCAGATTGATGATCGTTTTATTCACTTGAAGACAGCTTTTTTAATTTAAAACTTGCCTTTGCTTGTTGATTTTGAATTATTTAGTGGTTTGTTAGCATCATGTTCAGCACTCAGAGGAGCTGCTTTTAAAAAAAATAAATGAAGCTTATTATTATTACTTTTTTTTTTACACTGAATGATATTTTAGTGGCTGTTCTTTCTAAAACACGAGAAACAAATATGATAGTGTGCATTTTTTAACCTGAAATCAAGTCAAAGAGGACACCATCTAATGAAAATTAAAGCAGTATTACATTTAAACATTGTTATATGCTTCAAAATTTGTTCTTTTATTTAATATTATTGTTAGAAACACACATTTTAAAAATGAAAATCGTTAAGAAAATATAATATTATTGATATTAGCTACTATTTTATTTACACTGAATGACATTTCAGTGCTGGCTTTTCTAAAGCGTGGGAAACTTACATGCTAGTGTGCATTTTTTTTTACCTAAAATTAAGTCAAACAGGACACCATCTAATGAAAACATAAGCAGTGTTAAATGTTAACATCTTTAATGCTTCAGAACATGTTCTCATATTTAAGCTACATAATATTATTGCTATAAACACACATTTTAAAAATGAAAATTGTTAAGAAAATCTAAAATATTATTAATATTAGCTACTATTTTTTTTTTACAATGAATGACAATTCAGTGCTGTCCTTTCTAAAACATGCAAAACAAATATGATAGTGTGCATTTCTAAACCAGAAACCAAGTTAAGCAGGACGACTTCTTTTAAAATTAAAGCATTATTACATGTTTAATGCTTCAAAACCTGTTCTCGTATTGAAGCTATAATATTATTGCTATAAACACACATTTTTTAAAATGAAAATTGTTAAGAAAATCTAAAATATTATTAATATTAGCTACTATTTTTACAATTAATGACATTTCAGTGCTGTCCCTTTCTAAAGCGTGGGAAACTTATATGATAGTGTACATTTTTTGACCTAAAATAAAGTCAGACAGGACACAATCTAATGAAAAAATAAGCTTTATTAAATTTTACTGTCTTTAATGCTACAAAACCTGTTCTCGTATTTAAGCTACATAATATTATTGCTATAAACAGACATTTAAAAAACGAAAATTGTT